CCGCCCGCCCGACGACCCGCCCACCAGCATCGTCGTCGTCGTGGTCGTCGTCTTCGTCGTCGTCGTCCGTGGTTTTCGTCGTCGTCGTCGCCGTCCGTCGTCCGTCGTCGTCGTCGTCGTCATCGTCGTCCTCGTCGTCGTCGACCATCGTCCGTCGCTCTCCGACAGTACCCGTCGTTCTCCGTCGGTCTGAACTGTTTGTCGTGCGTCGTCCGTCGCCGTCGTCATCGTTCGTCCGTCGTCCGTCGTCCGCCGTCCTTCGTCGTTCGGTTTGGTGTTCGTCGTTCGTAAGGTCGTCCGTCAGACATCGTCGTCGTCCAACGTCGTGCGGCGTGCGTCGAGCGTCGTCCGTCGTCCCTCGTCCATCGTCCGTCGTCCGTCGTCCGTCGTCCGTGGTCCGTCGCCCGTCGTCCGCCGACCGCCGACCGTCGTCCGTCGCCGTCGTCCGTCGTCCGCCGTCCGTCGTCCGTCGTCCGTCGTCCGTCGTCCGACGTCACCGTCGACGTCGCCGTCGTCCGTGGTCCGTCGTCCGCCGTCCTCCGTTGCGATCGCCGTCGCCGTCATCGTTGTCGTCGCCGTCCGTCGTCCGTCGTCCGTGGTCAAATGTCCATCGTCCGTCGTCCGTCGTCCGTCGTCCATCGTCCGTCGCCCGACGTCCGGCGATCCGCCGTCGTCCGTCGTCCGTCGTCCGCCGTCGGTCGTCCGTGGTCCGTGGTCCGTGGTCCTTTGTGGCTGGCGGTGATCCGTCTTCCCTCGTCCCTCATCTCTCGTGCGTCTTCCGTCGTCCGTCGTCCATCGCCCGTCATCGTCGTCGTCGTCCTCGTCGTCGCTGTCGTCATCGTCGTCGTCGTCGTCGTCATCCGCCATCGACTGTCGTCCGTCGTCCGTCGTCCATCGTCCGTCGCCCAACGTCCAGCGATCTGCCGTCGTCGTCGCCGTGGTCCATAGTCCGTTGTAAATGGCGATAATCCGTCGTCCCTCGTCCCTCGTTTCTCGTGCGTCGTCCGTCGTCGTCCGTCGTCCGTCGTCCGTCGTCGTCTTCGTCGTCGTTATCGTCGTCGTCGTCATCATCGTCGTCGTCGACGTCGTCGACGCCGTCGTCGTCGTCGTCGTCGTCGTCGTCGTCGCCGTCGTCGTCGTCGTCCGTCGTCCGTCGTCGTCCGTCGTCTGTCGTCGTCGTCCGTCGTCTGTCGTCCGTCGTCCGTCGGCCGTCGTCCGTTGTCCGTCATCGTCGTCGTCCGGCATGTGCCGTCGCCGTCGCCGTCGCCATCGTCGTCAATCGGCCGTCGTCCGTCGTCCGTCATCGTCGTCGTCCGGCGTGTGCCGTCGCCGTCGTCCGTCGTCGTCGTCGTCGTCGTCGTCGTCGTTGTCGTCGCCATCGTCGTCGTCGTCGTCCGTCGTCCGTCGTCGTCCGTCGTCTGTCGTCGTCGTCCGTCGTCTGTCGTCCGTCGTCCGTCGGCCGTCGTCCGTTGTCCGTCGTCGTCGTCGTCCAGCATGTGCCGTCGCCGTCGCCGTCGCCATCGTCGTCGGTCGGCCGTCGTCCGTCGTCCGTCATCGTCGTCGTCCGGCGTGTGCCGTCGCCGTCGTCCGTCGTCCGTCGTCGTCGTCGTCGTCGTCGTCGTCGTCGTCGTCGTCGTCCGTCGTCCGTCGTCAATCTTCCGTCGTCCATCGTCCGTCGTCCGTCGTCGTCGTCGTCATCGTCCGCCGTCGTCGTGGTCGTGGTCGTCGTCGTCGTCGTTGTCGTCGTGGTCGTGGTCGTGGTCGTCGTCATCCGTCGCCCGTCGTCCGTCGTCCGTCGTCCGTCGTCCGTCGTCCATCGTCCCTCGTCCGTCGTCCATCGGCCGACGTTCCGCCGTCGTCGTCGTCGTCGTCGTCCTCGTCGTCGTCCGTCGTCGGTCGTCAGTCGTCTGTGGTCCGTCGTCCGTCATCCGTCGTCCATCGCCCGTCGTCCGTCGTCCCTCTTCTTGTTGTCCGTCGTCCGTCGTCCGTCGTCCATCGTTCGACGTCCCTCGCCCGTCGTCCGTCGGCCGACGTTCCGCCGTCGTCGTCGTCGTCGTCCGTCGTCCATCGTCCATCGTCCGTCGTCCGTCGTCCGTCGTCCATCGCCCGTCGTCCCTCATCTGTCGTCCGTGATCCGTCGTCTGTCGTTCGTCGTCATCGTCGTCGTCGTCGTCGTCGTCCGTCGTTTGCTGTCCGTATTCCGCCGTCGCCGTCGCCGTCGCCAACGCCGTCGCCGCCGCCTGCGCCGCCGTCGCCGTCGTCGTCGTCTTTCGACGCCTGTGCTCGCCGCCGTCGTCGTTTGCGAGCAGCCCCTGGAAGGCGGGCTCAAACCTCCCCCCTGTTCGGGTGGGGTATGGATCTTCGATTTCTGTGGGGGGAGGTGGCTCGGGCTGGGGAGGGCTCACGGAAAACCAGCGGGAAAAGGAGCCCGTTTCGGGGAGGCCCCACGGGTTCTGTTCGGGGGGGAACCCTCCAAAATACCGGAGGTAGGGGGGTGAGATCCCGGTGGAACGGAGAGCCCCCCCCCGGGAAATTGGTTTCGGGTTGGGTTCGTTCGCGCGTGCGGGCGAGGCGAAGCTGCGTGGGCGGGCGAAAAAGGATGACTCCGCTGTGGCCAGGGCGGGTCAAGAGCCGTCGACCGTCCCTCCTCCCTCTCCCGTGGGCGGGCGGTGGCAAGGTTGTCCCGCCGTGGTGCCCCGTCACTGTCCGCCTCTCCCTCCCCCGGTGGGCAGGCGGCGACCGGGTTGTCCCGCCGTGGTTGTCCCGTCGGTGTCTCGTCGGTGTCCCGTCGGTTTCCCGTTGGTGCTCCGTGGTTGTCCCGTCGCTGTCCCGTCGCTGTCCCGTAGATGTCCCGTCGGCGTCCCGTCAGCGTCCCGTCGGCGTCCCGTCGGTGTCCCGTCGGTGTCCCGTCGGTGTCCCGTGGTGAGATCGATAGTGAGATCGATCGTGACGCCAATAGTGAGATCAGGCGAGTGAGGTCGATAGTGAGACCGATGGAGAGATCGATAGTGAGATCGGCAATGAGATCGATCGGTGCCCCGATGGTGTCCCGATGGTGTCCCGTGGTGTGCCGTCGGTGTCCCGTCGGTGTCCCGTCGGTCTTCTGTCGGTGTCCCTTGGTGTCCCGTGGTGAGATTAATTGTGAGATCGATGGTGAGAGCGATAGTGAGATCGACAATGATATTGGTTGTGAGAGCGCTAGCTGGATCAAAAAACAAACGACACCACCCCACCTACGGCCCCAGGGGGCTTAGCGTATAACAAGAAGTCTGGCGCGGGTTTGTTTACATAGTATACGCTACGGCGCCCGATGGAACGTAGCGCAACATGGAGGGCCGTAGGTGGGGTGCTGTCGTTTGTTTTTCGGTCGAATAATGAGATCGATCGTGGGATCGACCGCGTGAGATCGATAGGGATATCGAAAGTGAGATCGATTGGTGTGCCGATGGTGTGCCGATGGTGTCCCGTGGTGTCCCGTCGGTGTCCCGTCAGTGTCCTGCGAGTGTCCCGCCGATGTCCCTTCGGTGTCCCGTCGGAGTCCTGTCGGTGTCCAGTGGTGTCCGGTGGTGAGAGCGATAGTGAGACCGATGGTGAAATCGATGGTGAGATCGATAGTGAGATTGATGGTGAGATCACCAGTGAGATTTAGAGTGATATCAAAAGTGAGGTCGATCGAGTGCGAGCGATGTTGGGATCGATCGAGTGAGACCGATAGAGGGTTCGATACTTAGATCGATAATGAGATCAATAGTGAGATCGATGGTGACCTGATGGTGTCCTGATTGGTGCCCCGATTGGTGGTATCCGTTGTGAGACTTGGGGGGATTCGCAAAGAACCCGATACGCCAAACGGTTTTCAATGTCAGCATCACCGGCCACGGGATCGACTGTGACGCCGCGTCGTCACATTGCCATCGCAGCGCAGTGGTGGTGGCATTTATTTGGCCCGATAGTGCTCCGATGGTATGCCGATCGTACTCAGCACTACCGCCACTTCTGTCGCCGCTGCACTCATCATCACTGCGGCCATCACCTTGCCATCAGCAGCCAGCCATCACACCTAGCCATCACAGCACAGTAGTGTTGGCATTTATTTGGCCTCATTGTGCCCTGGTGGTGTTTCGATGGTGAGGTCGATCGAGTGGGATCGATAGTGGGACCACATCGCGACGCAGCATCGTCACCACACGTCGTCGCCAACTCAAGGGTGCATTACCAGCATCGTCATCATCACCGCCATCGCAGTTGTCGTCAGCTGGTTCTTTCTCCCCCCCCACCCAGCCTCCTCATCACCCGAAGGGTGGTCGTATAGCTAGATTTCAAGCGAACGGCCGTGGAAAGCGCTCTCTCGCAGGAGCAAGCAAGCACGAGACCTCATCGAGGCCCCGAAGGAGTCACGAGCTCGGACTCCGGGAACGAGGAGGCGGCGGAGGACCAGAGCAGAGCCGGGCTGCATCCACGATGCTGCAACACGCCCTCCCGCCTCAGGTCCACCCCCAAAAGTCCTGACAAGCATGAGGTCGGGCGTGTCCTCCTACAGGCTGATTTTGGACGAAACATGAAAAAATAGTCGAAAGATGCTCAAGAATAGTCCGAAAGAGTCGAAGAATCGTCCCTGGACTATTTTTGACTATTCTTGAATCTTCCTCTTGTAGAGGGACAGGCCCGACTTAAGAAAAGCTAGAAGCCTCCTAGATAGGGTCCGAGTAGATGGGGTCGGAGGGTCGCGCCGCGTCGCCGATACATCGGCGATGCATCGGCGATGTATCGGCGATGCATCGTCGATGCACTGGCGATGCATGGTCGACGTGAGCGATGCATCGGCGACGCCTGCGTGGAGAAAATCGGGCTCCGCATCGCGCCGCATCGCCGATATATCGGCGATGCGGCGCGATCCTCCGACCCCACCTGCTCGGACCCCATCTGAATCTGGGAGGCCTAGATGAGCTGCTGCCCTGGTTCGCAAAGTCCTGAAGGAAGAGGAGGAGGACGAGGAGGAGGAGGAAAAGCAGGAGGAGGAGGAGGAGGAGAAGAAGGAGGAGGAGGGGGAGGAGGAGGAGGGGGAGGAGCAGGAGGAGGAGGAGGAGGACGAGGAGGAAGAGGAGGACGAGGAGGAAGAGGAGGACGAGGAGGAGAAGGACGAGGAGGACGACGAAGAGAGGAGGACGAAGAGGACGAGGAGGCCTAGAGCATCCCCCTTGATCGACGAGCTCCGGCCGGGCCCGCCCACGCGGGCGAGGGACCCCATCCTGGAGGAGGGCCCGCCCTCGGGCCATCGGGCTGCAGGACAGGCGTACATGTCGAGGAGGTGTGCATCGACAGCTGTCATCCCCTTCCCCGGTGGCCCGGTTCCCCCGCGGAGGAGGAGGAGGAGGAGGATGAGGAGGAGGAGGAGGAGGAGGAGGACGACGAGGAGGAGGAGGAGGAGGAGGGGGAGGGGGGATGGAGGAGGAGGAGGGAGGAGGACGGAGGAGGAGGAGGGGAAGAGGAGGAGGAGGAGGGAAGCGGAGGAGGAGGAGGAGGAGGAGGAGGAGGCGGGAGGAGGAGGGGAGGGGAGGGAGGAGGAGAGGAGGAGGAGGAGGAGGAGGAGGAGGAGGAGGGGGAGGAGGAGGGGGAGGAGGGGGGGGGACGATGTTGACAGGGGGGACACTGGGGGGGGCGGTGCCTCCCCCCCAGTGCCCATCCTTCTCGAGTCAGCGCTCGTCGTCGTCGTCGTCGTCGTCGCCGCCATTCAAGGTCGGCGGCACTGGCCGTAAGGCCTTCGCAATCTCAAGGAAGTGTGCAGCGATAGCTGTCCATCAGGGCTGGACCTGGACGTTGTTGCTCGTTTTGCGTTCGTTTTATGGCTCGTTGTTTTGCTCTAGCTGTTTTCCTGCACCTCCCTTGCCAGAATCGAAGAACAAAACACCGCCGAAATCCAACACAACAGTGCTCAGGTCCGGCCCTGTTGTCCATCCTTTTCGAATCAATTGTTAGATCGTTCGCGGTAACGCCCGTGACCCCCCCCCCCGCCGCCCCCCCCCCCCCCGGTCAAGACACGATTCGCGCCGGGCACCGTTTGGGAACTGGCCATGATTCAAAAAGCATGCCCACACGGCGCGGACGCGAATCGTGACGTAACCGCACCACTCCCCCCCTCCCCCCCCCGTAACGCCCGCTCTCGCCAGAGAATGCAAACACCCTCTCCTGGCTGTAAGAAGGGCAGTGAATTAGGATGAACAAATTCAAGGACGTGTCCTGCGATTACCCCGTCTTGCAAACGATCTGCCCACCATCCGTGTAATTAAGTGCTGCGCACATGGTCATCAGAGTGAGGGGGCCAAACGGTCATTCACTGTCCCTGGGTGCATGGCTGAAGTGGGGTTCCATCGTGCGGATTGTTGTTCAGTTGTTGTTGCTGTTGAGTGATTGCTGTTGGTTGTTGGTTGTTGGTTGTTTGTTGTTGGTTGGTTGGTTGGCTGTTGGCTGTTGGCTGTTGGTTGTCGTTGTTGGTTACTGTTGATGTTGCCGTTGTTGTTGATGTTGTTGCTGTTGCTGATTGTGCTGTTGTTTGATTCATTTCTGACAAACGAATATTGTGAATCCCTCTTCGGGTGACCATTATATATTTCCCAACCATCCAGTGGTGTTGGGTCCTCGTTTTGAAGAGACGGTCCCCGCGTCTCCTCCTCCTCCTCTCCTCCTCCTCCTCCCCCTCTCCCTCCTCCCGTCACCCCTCCCACTCTGGCACATCCTTCACACGCTTCGTAACCCCATAGGGGCTCCACCAAAGGCCCCGATGGCTGCGTTCACATGCCGCCACCCCTCCACTTTGGCACACCCCTCACATGTTTCGTGGCCCCATAGGGGGCTCCACCGAAGGCCCCAGTGGCACCGCCCGCATGCGCCACTCCCACCCAATACAACAACGCTTCGTAGCCCCATGGGGAATTCCCCCAAAGGCCTCAATGGCACCGCCCGCATGCGACACCCCCACCCAATACAACGCTTCGTGGCTCCATAGGGAGCCCCACCGAAGGCCCCAGTGGCACCGCCTGCATGCGTCACCCCCGCCCAGTACAGCGCTCCGTGGCCCCATGAGGAGCTCCACCGAAGGCTCCAATGGCACCGCCCGCATGCGTCACCCCCACCCAGTGCAGCGTGGCCCCATAGGGAGCTCAATCGAAGACCCCACTGGCACAGCCCGCATGCGCCACCCGCACCCAGTAGTGGCCCCATAGGGAGCTCCACCGAAGGCCCCAGTGGTTCCACCCGCATGGCGTTCCCCACCACCCAGCACAGCACTTCGTGGCCCCATGGGGAGCTCAACCGAAGGCCCCAGCGGCTGTACTTGCATGCGTTTCCCCCGCCCAGTACAGCGCTTCGCAGCCACATAGGGAGCTCCACCGAAGGCCTCAATGGCACCGCCCGCGTGGCGTTCCCTTTGGGGAGCTCCGCCCAAGGCCCCAGTGGCTGTATTCGCATGCGTTTTCCCCACCCAGTACAGCGCTTCGTTGCCCCATAGGGAGCTCCACCCGCCCCATTGCCGCGCAGCTCTCGCACTTTTCGCGGCCCCGTGGTGCGTTTTGCCTGAAGCACCAGTGGCGGCGCCCACATCGCGGCCTCGCCCCACATCGGCACACCCTTCGCATGCTCCATGGCCCCATGAGGAGATCCCCTGGAAGGGATACTTTTTGATTGCCGACCGCTAGCGGGTAGCCGCGCGGCGTCCGTAAGTCAAAGGACAGCCAGGCCTACGCAGTATGGGGCGGGAGCCTAAAACTACAGCTGGCAGGCGCGGAAAAGAGGCGAGGCCGGAACCAAGGAGACGAGGCCTGGATGGGGATGCCCGCAACGACGGTACTCACAACTGCATATGGCGACGCCGAGCGGACGGCGGGGGGGGGGGCGGCCGCGCTCCTCCAGCAGGGCCAGCCTGGTCCCCTCGAGCGCCGACGCCTCGGCGAGGCAGGGGGCGCGCGCTCGCGCTGCGCGCCGCTGCCGCTCCGAGAGGTCGGCGCGGGGCTCCACAAAATCGTGTCTGTATCGCTTCTTGCGTTTCGAGCTTCGGAGGGAACAGATACGGAGTAGGAGAAGGAGGAGGAGGAGGAGGAGAAAGAGGAAGAGGAGAAGGAGGAGGAGGAGGAGGAGGAGGAGGAGGAGAAAGAGGAGGAGAAGGAGGAGGAGGAGGAGGAGGAGGAGAAATGAGGGGGAGGGGGGAGGAGGAGGAGCCAAGAGGAGGAGGGGAGGAGGAGGAGGAGGAGGAGGAGGAGGAGGACGAGGAGGAGGAGGAGGCCGAGGAGGCGAGGACGAGGACGAGGACGAGCACGAGGACGAGGACGCGGAGGAGGAGGAGAAGGAGGAGGAGGAGGAGGAGCAGGGGGAGGAGGAGGAGGAGGAGGCCGAGGAGGAGGCCGAGGAGGAGGAGGAGGAGGAGGAGGAGGAGGACGAGCACGAGGACGAGGAGGAGGAGAAAGAGGAGGAAGCGTAAAGGGGCGGGCATTCTCGCACTTTCACGACAGCTTTCCAGCCTCGCGATGCCTTCCAGCGGCCACGCCTGGCCGAGGGCGCGTTCGGGCGGTGCCCGGATCGTCCGAGGGAACGCTGGAGAGCAGCGCTATGAGCCGAAGACCACGGGGCAAAGCGGGGGGGGGGGGGGACGAGCCCAGGGGGAGAGCCATCGAGCTGGAGTCGGCGATACGTCGCCGATAGATCGGCGATACAGCGTAGGCCAGCCCGCAAGAAACCTTCCACAAGAAACCCAGCCCTGGAACCCCAGGGCGTCCATTGTTTTTTGGTGCGGGAACGTCACGCTTTCCATAGCAAAACCATCGAGACACAAGAAACCCAGGGCACCCTGGAGGCAAGGAGGCAAGCAGGGCGTTTTTTGGCATGGGTCTCCACTGTAGGCCCCCGAAGGTGAATCCGCATGTTCCTGGGCGGGGTGGGGCAATCGGGCCCCCATCGGCGATCAATGGGCAAGTAGGGGCCGATGCATTCCGCCCTCAGCCTATCCCCCGATGTCGTTGACCCTGAAAAGGGGGACGTCCACGTGCTCGCCAACGACGCCGCGGCCGCTGCCGGGGGACGTCAAGGTGGGACGGGGCCAGATGTGGGGTCGGGGGAAGCCCAGAGCAACGGGCGAGCATTTTTATAGAAGAACGAAACAACGGCACAAACATAAACTTTTGGGGCTCCGCGCTGTGCTCACGTGCGAATGAGGAGGAGGAGGAGGAGGAGGGGGAGGAGGAGGAGGAGGAGGAGGAGGAGGAGGAGGAAGGGAAAGGAAGGCCACCCCCCTCTGCTCCCCACTCCTCCTCGCCTCTCTCTCCCCGCCTCGCCGGAGCAGGGACGTCGCTCCCGTTTGAGCGAGCGAACGTGTGCGTCCAGGCCTGCACTTGGCAATTGCGGCAGGCTCGTGTCGTGACGACACGGGGCGTTGGTCTGTGACACCGCGTGGGTCGATCGCTCCATATTACAGTCAACCCGTATAGTAAGGATGCGCGATAAAGATGCAAGGGCCTTGGAGGCTCATTTCGAAGCTTTTCGAGCGGGGCGCGGCCAACGAAAGTGGCCAAGGCTGGACCGAGGAGGCGAGGATGCAAGGTTACCCTTCGGGACGTCGCCCATCCTGACTGTGCAGGTTGACTGTAACCACTCCTGGGCCATTAGCAGCTTTCAACCTTGAACGCCCTCGGCGGGGTCGCCACGGCGTCGGCACGACACGAACCTAACGTACCCGCAGCCGTTGCTCAGTGTCCCCCCTTCCTCTCCTACCGCCGCCGCCGTCGTCATCGTCGTCGTCGTCATCGTCGTGGTCGTCGTCGTCGTCGATCGTCACCGTCACCATCGTCATTGTCGTCGTCGTCACAGCGTGCCCGCGGCCCCTGCGAGAGGATGCTGATGCCCCCTTGGGCGCTCCTCCTCCTCCTCCTCCTCCTTCTCCTCCTCCTCCTCCTCCTCCTCCTCCCCCTCCTCGTCCTCCTCCTCCTCCCCCTTCTCCTCCTCCTCCTGCTCCTCCTCCTCCTCCTCCTGCTCCTGGTGCGGCTGCTCCTCCCAAGAGACGGCCTCGCTGCTCTCGTTGCCGTCGGTCTGCCCCGCCCGCAGGTGGTACTGCAGGGCGGAGGCGGTGACGACGGCGATCCCCAGCACCAGCTGCATCGTCGGCTCTGTGCCAAATAGCATGACCGACAGCAGCATCGTGACCAGCATCGCAATGGCGTGGGCGAAGACACGAGCTATGTTGTCGAAATACTTGAGGATGGCGGCGATCGTCAGGCCCATCACGGTGTTGTTCAGAATGCCGCAGAAAGTATAGACATTGTACCCTTCGAAGAATCTATTACTCGTTAACACGTCTGGGGCATGAATGAAAGTGCCAACCATATTGAACGCTATTCCCCACGAGTCCGCCGCCGCGGCTGGTCGCGGAGTGCATCGACAATGTGAGATCACAAGCTGAATATCATCACGCAGTCGAAACACAATACAATACCTGCGTCAATGAATTGTTGCAAACATGGAAACCATACGACTAAATCCATATTGCAGGCAACCCTATCAGGAACATGCACAGGAATGGGCGTATGATGCCCACATGCATTATGAGTAGTGCGGCGGACTGTGTGAGAAGGTATCCTACGATGCAGCATAGCAAACAATATCCGATGGATAAGCATACTCTGGGTTTCTTAGTAAGCGTGGGGGGGGTACCCCCCCGACGGAGGTCAACCTCGCCTCGTCGTCGCGCCGCGACGGGGGCCGGAGCGCCTTCGCGCGCGATGGCTGCCCGCGACAGGGGTCGATGTGGGGCTGTCAGCGGGGGTGACGCCTCCCCGACGCTTTGTAAGAAACTCGGGTTACACCTTGCCTAACACCACAATGTCCGCCACAGTGCCGGCAGGCACTGAGTGGAGCGTCCCCAGGCCCCTGCGATCCCTCCACATGGAATGTTGAACACTCTGCGGGCCCAAGCCCCGAAGTCCGAGCGCGTCTTGAGCGTCCCACTGTGATGCCTGGGGCTTGCCGCGTTTCTATCGTCGTTTCTATGGCCCTCGACCCAAGAGAGGCCCCAGCAAGTCCTGCTCGCCAAGATGGCCCTCGAAGTCGCGAGCAGGTCCCCAGGAGGCTGCCAAGGGCCCCCCCAGAGGCCCCCGAGAGGCCCCCGGGAGGCCGCAGGGAGCCCCCCTGAGGCCCAGAAGAGGCCTCTCCAAGAGGCCACCAAGAGACCCGCCAAGAGGCACCGAGAGGCCTCTGGCGACAACCCAGACACGGTGACACGGTGACTCGTCTGGCCGAAGGCCACTAAACTACAGTCGATCGCACCTACGCACACACACACACAAACACACACACACACACACACACCACAGCACTTGTAGCGCGGCAGAGGTGTGTCGGGCCCCGATGGCTCAGGGCACCTCCTGCTCCTCGCGGGGGAGTGCCTCCGCCTCCCTCCAACGAGTGAGAGGGCAATCTGCACTCGTTTGGTCGGGCCTTCCAGGGCGCAGCCGCCCTGGTTCCCCGTACTCCTCGCTCTCCTGATCCTCCTCTTCCTCCTCCTGCTCCTGCACCTCGTCCTCCATCCTCCTCCCCCATCCGCCTGCTCATCCTCACCCTCCTCCTCCTCCTCCTCCCCCATCCTCCTCAATCATACGCTTTTCCAGTGGCTCTCTCATTGCTTAATCATACGCAGTCCTCCTCGTCCTCCTCCTCCTCGTCATCATTCTCAATCATCGTTCTCAATCCACACCCTCTGTTCTCATTATTTTCTATCCCCCTCCTCATCTTCCTCCTCCTACTCCTCCTCTTCCACCTCCTCCTCCTCTTTCTCCTCCATCCTTTTTCGTGTATGTATGTGTATATATATATAGAGAGAGAGCTCCTCCCTGTCGCGCCCCGAGATGTGTATGTAGGGCGTACCGGGCGTTTCACCTGAGACTTCCTCATGATCCTGAAACTGAAGGTTCGCAACAGTTTCACTGAAAGAGGGCGGCCCATTTTCACAATGTGGCTCTCGCCTTAGCGCAGCGCACATTCGATTCTAAGAAATCGCAGCAGCTTCACCAAAGTGAAGACGAGCCGTCTTCAAGATGTGGTTCTCGCCTGAGCGCCGCGCACATTCGTATGACAAGTTGGCAACAGCTTCACGGATGGAGGGTTGGTGGTTTTCAAAATGTGGCTTTCGCCTGAGCGCCGCGCACATTCGTCTGACCAGTTTGCAACAGCTTCACGGATGGAGTGCGGGTGGTTTTCAAAATGCGGCTTTCGCTTTAGCGCCGCACGTGTGCGGGTGGAGGGCGGGTTGTTTTCAAAATGTCTCTATCGCCTTGGTGCCGCGCACACTCGGCTTAAACATTTGCAAAGGGTTTCATCGATGGTGGGCGGTTCCTTTTCAAAATGCGGCTCTCGCATTAGCGCCTCGTGCATTCGTCTTCAAAGCTTGCAGCAGTTTCGCGAGTGGAGGGCGGGTGGTTCTCTACATGTGGCTCTCGCCTGAGCGCCGCGCACATGTGTCTGACAAACCTGCAACAGTTTCATAGATGGAGGACAGTTCTTCTTCAAAATGTGGCTCTCGCCTGAGCGCCACGCGCAGTCGTCTTAAACGTTCATAGCAATTTCAACTGTTCTTCTGGCTTGCGTTCCAGCAATGGTGTTCTGGCCCGATCTAAGACTGTCAGGACGCAACGGTCACGTTGATTTGCGGTGTTGAAGTCCCAGGAAAGGCGTTCTGGTACGAGTCAGGATCGTCAGGACGCGATTGCCAAGTTGATTTGCAACGTTGAAGTCCCAGGAATGGTGTGTAGTGTTTTGGCACGACTGAGGATTCTCAGACGGTTGTCCTCCAACGGGACACTTCCCGCAGTGGCATGAATTCTTAGAAACGAAGCTAGACGTAGCTAGACCTGGAGGGAGGACTTCTTGTAACATCGTTGATGCGTCTTGGGCCCACACTGGTCCTCCTCCTCCTCCTCCTCCTCCTCCGCCTCCTCCTCCTCCGCAATCCTCCCCCGCACTCCTCCATCATCCATCCTCCATCATTCTCCTCCTCATCCTCCTCCTCCCTGATCCTCCCACGTACTCTTCCATCCTCCATCCTCCTCCTCAATCCTCCTCCGTCGATCCTCCTCCCCGTCCTCCTCCTCCTCCCCCTCCTCCTCCTCCTCCTCTCCTCCTCCTCCTCCCCCTCCTCCTCCTCCTCTCCTCCTCCTCCTCCTCCTCCCTCCTCCTCCTCCCCCTCCTCCCCCTCCTCCTCCTCCTTCCTCCTCCTCCTCCACCTCCTCCCCCTCCTCCCCCCCTCCTCTCCTCCTCCTCCTCTCCTCCTCCCTCCTCCTCCTCCTCCCTCCTCCTCCTCCTCCTCCTCCTCCTCCTCCTCCTCCTCCTCCTCCTCCTCCTGTATCCACCTCGTCACATCTCCAAGGCCCTCTGGAAGGCCCTCCCAGCTGGACGCCCTGCCAACGATCCGCCTCCCAGCACGAGGCCGATATGCCGGGGCCAGAAACTGGGGATCGGGCGGTCACCACGCCGCGCGGAGGCGCAGGGCATACAGCTGGAGGTTCTGCCAGTGGATGGAGTCCTGTGGGAGGAGGAGGAGGAGGAGGAGGATAAGGAGGAGGAAGAGGAGGAGGAGGGGGAACTGCAGCCAGACTGCTGACACGAGGAACGACCCATGTAAGCAACGAGGCCCCTGTTTCCAAGACGCTGGCCGTAAAGTCCGAAGGAGCGGCCGAACCCCTCTCTCGAGCAGCGTTCCGCCACGACTTGCCTTCGCGGTTGGACTCCCACCCCTCTGCCCGAAGACCCAGGAACGCCCCCCCACCCATACCCACACCCCCACGCTGTAGGGAAGCTGTAAGCAACAGAAAAGCAGCCAGGGCAGCGCTGAGTTCCCAGGGGGCTGCTTCACTGCCACTGGAGCCGCCCGAGCAGTGACCTGACCGGTCAGCCGTGCAGCTGCCGCCTCAGGGCGAGACTGAGTCAGGTCAGTGCTCTGATCTCCTGCGCATCACCTGAAAGGACCCGAACGCTGACCAACTGCATTCTTTACAGTAGGGGCCCGACCACAAGAAACCTGCCACAAGAATCCCAACCCTGAGACCCCAGGACGTCCATTGATTTTTGGTGTGGGAACGTTTCATTTTCAGTCGCAAAGCCATAGAAGTCCAAGAAACCCGGGGCACCCTGGAGGCAAGCAGGGTGTTTCTCGTGGCATGCGCCTCCACTGGATTCCGAAGGAGCGTGTCGGGTTCGAGATCTTCGGGCGTTTCCGTCGGTCTTCAGCGGTTTCGGGGCGGTCTCCACCAACTGCGCCTCTCCGAGAGCGTGCCCGGGGTGTCAAGATCGCCCCGTACGGCCGCGGGAGAACCCCTCCGGAGAGCTGACTTTGACGACCCGGCAACCAGCCCGAAGCAGGAGGGCGCGGGCCCCCGTTCCTGGGCCCAGGGCCAAGTCCCAGGGCGCCTCCAGGAGAGCCCCAAGACGGTCCAATATGCATGCACAGACGGCCTCAAAACGGCCCAAGAGACAACCAAGACTGCTCTAAAGCACCAGGAGGAGGAGGAGAAGCAGGAGGACGAGAAAAATGGAACAACACATTAATAATCATGATTACAAAAACAATAATGATGACAGTGTTAATAATGCTCTACGGATGAGGTTGTGAATGGTGTTAAGGATGACAATGATACTGACAAGAGTATTGCGAAAACAGTATTCATACTAATGATAGTACTACTACTACAACTATTATTACTACTATTACTACTACTACTGAGAATGCTGGAAGAAAATATGTATTACCAATAACAATTACACATGCTGACATAATTGCACACAACATCAATACACAACTAGTAAAAATAAAGATGTTAGTTTGCTTCGAGCAATCCCCACCGACACTTTAGGCATTCGTTCCTGACGCCGCGCGGTCGCCGAATTGGTCGACAACCAACTGCCATTTCTGGATTAAAAAACGGTTCAACTGTGTTCCATGTAGTCACGTTCTTTCTTGTTATGCTCTATTATGTCCTGTTCTGTTCTCGACGGACCAGCATGACGCCGTGACGCTTGTGACGTTAGATGCGTCATCTGTCATGATAAGTATCTTCACTTAGCTTCTCTTCTGATTGAGTGTGTTGTGCTATGCTCATCTCTGTCACGATATGCTTTGAGATAATGTGGTGCGATCTATTATGTGGCACTATGTTATGATCTGATGTGTTATGGCAAAATATGTTCTAGTATGCTCTGTTCCGTGATGCTGTTGACAGCTCGGCTCAGTATAGTATATTATGATAAACTCTGCTATTATGTTTCGCTATGGTTTGATGTCGTGCTCTGATTTGTTAGCTGATGCTGTCATGGTACGATATGATATGTTCTGCCATGGTATGGGAGGATATGCTCGGTTATGTTATATAAT